AATTTACATTACGATGAATAGAAAAAATAGTAAATGCTGCGGATTATCTTCATTCCTATGCTCAATTAAGAAGTCATTTTAATGCGGTTTCAATTTAACGCAATTCAATTTAAAACTAGACGTGAGTGTTATTTTATCTTAAGGCGAGCTGAATAAATATTCCGACACGTGTAAATAATTGACTCAATCAATATAAATTGAGATCCAGATTTTTAAATAAAATAATCATTTTTTTATTACTAAAAACTAATCAATACTATTTACAATCGATATCTTTCAAACAATTATAATATACTCATTTTTAGCCTCATTTTTTGTTTGAACATAATATTTAAAAATGTTCGATCAGATCATGAACTTTATCGTCATGATAAGGTGTATTGAAAACGTCCCAAAAATTTAATTAAATCTGATATCTTTAGAACAGTTTTTAACTTCTTGTAGGGCAAGATATAGTAATCGCAAAAAAATCGAAAATGAAAATGTTTATATATCGTTACGTTTCAGAGGTTTCTGAACATTTTGGCATACTTTAGAAAAAATGGATGTATGTGTATGTGTGTATGTATGTGTGTGTTCGAATACAAATTTTTGTCGACGATTTCGGGAACACGGTTCAACCGATTTCAATTATTCAAAAAACATTCGATTCCTACTAATAAGGAGATGTGCTGATTAGTTTTTGGCATAGACAGGTATAGCCGTTTCGAAAATACGGGGCAAATGGTGCCAAAGACGGTAACTCAGTTTTTAAGAGAACGGAGCGTCCGATTTTAATTATTCAAAAAACATTTTACTTGTATTGACAAGAGGAAAAGCTGATTAAACTTTTGGGAAGACATGTCTAGCGGTTTCGGAGATCTAGTAAAAAAAAGTTTTGAGGTCAAAAATGATCATTAGACATATGCACATCAAATCAGATATTTTATGGAGATTTTAATAATGTGTACCAATTTTAATCAAGTTTACATTTTTATGAGTTTCGTTTGCCCGTTAGACGGCGACGCGGCGCTTACGCGCTTCGATATTGCATCTCTATGGAGCTAAAGCTTTGAAAAAAGTTCAAAATTTCCAAAATATTTCAAACTAAAAAAAACATTTTCTTCCAAAAAAGTTTTTTTTTCAAAAATTTAAAATTTCTCGAAAATGTAATCTTTTCAAAGTTTAAAACATATTTAATCTTTTTTTTTAATTTTATTTTGGTACGGTAAGTTCCAGCAATTTGCCTTAAGGCACGATGCCACACTAGTCGAAATTTTAAACTTGTAGTAGTATTTTGGTTAAAAAATTTTGCACGTAGCTGCTATTTGTAAATAAACGACTCGGCCGATCTTTGCGAAAAACTAATCGGTTTAACCATCCTAAAATATTAAAGGCCTACGAAAAGTTACAAGTTATAAAAATTCATTAATTTTTGAGATAATGAGTTAGCTTTCAAATTATACTAGTTACGTATGTGTGAACTATAATTTTTTGCACTCTAAATTTCAAATTTTTTAACACTTTTTAAAAAATATCAGGAGGAAATCGCATTGATTTTTAATCATGATTGCTTCACAAAATTCTTCTCACTCTGAATCCTATGTTTATAAAAATATAATTTATTTTCATTTTGCCACTTGTATGATCAGTGAAAGCCAAACTTTATTTTCGAAATAAACAGTTAAAAATTTTATCGAAATAGTTAAAACCATAATAAAACTCGCTTTGTATTGAGTCGATTATTCACACATACCGGAAAGTTCATACAAGTGGCAAAATGTCGGAACAAAATGCCACTCACCCCTAGTGGAAATATAACTTCTATATAAAAAATGAATTATGTTCTTATAAACATAGGATTTAGAGTGAGAAGAGTTTTGTGAAACAATATAAAAATTTAAATGAAACAACATTAAACCATGGAATGCGTTATTTTCCACTACAATTCGCAATTAAATTTGAAGGATGTTTTATGCAATCGACTATCGCGGTATAAATTTAAAAACTAATAGAGTAATAAATACTGAACTACGCGAATTCTTGGTCAAGGTTATTCAAGAAATATTGTGGTTTTTTAGTAATAAGTAAATAATTTGCATAATAAAATAATTTAAAATCTACGTAATGTAGAAATATTGTTTTCTTTGTCTTACTATTGACCAAAATTATAAGAAAAACGCTGAATGCCTAATCTTATCAAGCAAAAATAAAATGCAACGAATGGAAAAAGATTGACAAACCTATTAAACAGCAAAAATAATTGACGTCCTTTCTTATGTGTAAATTAAATTATGTGTATGTCAGAAATGCATAAAAATAATCGTCACTAAAGCATATGATAAGGTAATATAATAATTTTTATATTTTGATGAATATAAATTTGTTCATTTATTACTAGCATAGAAAACTTAAGACGTTTACTTAGCTAGTAAAAACTTAACTGATTTGCAAATCAGTTAACCATGGTTTACATGAAAAATCCTTCAACCCGTATGTTTAGAGTATGAAGTAATATTTTCCTTCTCAATGCTATATACTAGGATTAAATATCATTTTGTCTTAAGAGGATATTATGGTCAAAATTTTTGAAAAACTGATATTTATTTTTTGAATATTTTAAAGTTTAACTATTCAATAATATGTGTACAAGTAGATTTTTCAAAATTTAAAGTCTTTTTGGGAATGAAACTATTTGATCACAATAATCCTCCTTTGATTCCTTCCTCTGCAAAACTCTAAACGAGTTTTTCTCGAAACTGTCTTTCGATACTATACCCATAATTGCTCAATTTTTACTAGAACGAGAGACTTACTATTTTTACATAATATTCTTTATACAACTTCTTTGCAGTATAAACTTCTTTTCAGTATAAATAATAAAATTCCGATTTTTAATATTTTTCAAAATTTCAATATTCGAATATCAAAAAACGTTGTAAATTTGTTTCAAACAGTTGCTATTTTGTGGAAAAAATTAATTCACCTTGTCCGTAAACCATGCAATAGCGTTATTATTCTGAATTATTTTTTTTTTCTTCGGATAATTTGGAGAGCAAAGATCAGGTACCAATTTTTTTTTTGTTACTCAAAACGTTAATTAATAACTTGTAAAAAAATATAGACCAAAAGTTGCATGATCTTTCCGATATAAGTAAATAATCGACTTAATCTACAAGAAATCAACAAATTATTTTATGAGTGATTTATAACTATACCGAGTTGCTTTAGAGCATTATGATATGAAAAACCAGATATTGATTCACATGCACATCGTTCAGTTTTGCATAAATTACTTAAGTTTAAAAAACATAACTAACAAACCAAAGCGAGTGCTCATTGGCTTCATCAAATGACTTTTAAATTGACATTTTTTAAATTGATTCAGCCGTTTTTTGTGAAAACTTCGGTAAAATTCAAAAATTGGCCGATATACACAAACATGAGCAAACACATACTTTTTTCTAATTTAGTCTTAAACTATTCATAATGTTTTGAAATGTGGAGACAACACAAAATTAGATTTCCCAAATTTTATAGCTAAAACATGAACTTAAACTGTTACCTCAAAATATTCATAAAACTGTCCTTCAACATCTTTTATGTGTTCGGATATTCAATTTCTATTTATTCATTCCACCAGCGCGCCATTTCCTCGGACGTGCATTATTAGCTGCAAAATCCATTCGCGATGTAAAATGCATTTTAGAAGATGCAGGTTGCGGCGCGGCCGATGCCTTTTCTGTAAATGCTACATTTTTGGATGACAAACCTAGGGTTTTTTATAATATTGAAGTTGCACCTGCAGATGATGACCAGGACCAAAGTTTGATTGATGCTACATGTGCTGGACCGGGAAAAAATCTTGTGCATTGCAACAGGTACATTGCCACAAATTCATCACAAAAACTTATCGTCGACTGTGAATAATATAATGATTTTGTCAGCAATTTTTTTTTAATTATAACAATCTACATTATTTATTGTTGTACAAAGAACTATTCTTAAAAATAATGTAAGAAGAAATGTATTTAGATAAACCACTAATTATGTTTACTCATTTCAACAATATCTTCATTAATTTTTTATATCTGTTAAAATACAAATATGCAATAACCATTTAGGCCTATGCGTATATGCCTAAATAGTACTATTTTTTATTAATATGAAACATTCAAAGAATTTTGAAGGGATTAATAAACTTCTTATGTTTTGCAATAAAATAATACAGAAGTTAAAAAAAAATTGCAGACTCTTACGGTTGAAAACTCCAGAGGTGGAAGGTTTCATAATAGAAAATTCACAAGCGCGAATGGATGAATTGGACAAGAGAGGCACTGCCAAATGCAAATTGGATGCCATTAATGCACTCGGTGATCAAAGTAGAACAGATCATAATATTTTTCAAGATAATGGTCCGGATGATTATGTTAAAACAATAGCTGTGGGTATGTATGTACTGCTACAAATTTGCTTATTGGACATTATATATATATATATATATATATATATATATATTTATATATGAGATTCAATCTTCAGGGCAATACATCAATTAAAAACTTGAAAGAACTTATAACATTTTTATTGTTTCCATATGTTTCGATGCATTGTGTTGTGTCATCTTCAGTAGACGAATTTGTATTTTTATTATTATTATTTTTATTTAATTATTTTTATCTCAATTCTTACCAACTATGTCCACCCTCACAATTGACATCTTTTTAATTATATGCACCCTCCGCTTGTTCCTTTTTTTACCTAATCTACATGTGTTTTGCACATTTTGATTAACTGTCGCATCGGACATCGACATTACAACATGTGCTCTTTACAATAAGAAATTCTTCTAAAAATTTATAAAATTGTTCCGATTTAAAGTCACAAAAACTGTTTTTAGTAGTGCAATTGTGAACAATTATTACTAAAATTAATTACATGCAATTACATGTAAGTTTTTAACACCATATCACTTTCTTTATATAGTATTTGAATTAAGAGTTTTAATCTGTTTTTTCAAACTAGTCCACTGAAGATAACACAAAACAATGTTATAAGTTCCTACAAGTTTTTAATTGATGTATTGCCCTGAAGATTTAATCTCACATATTTCAACATCTAATTATTAAAAAAAAAATTAAAAATATATATATATATATATATATAATATATATATATGTAAA